GGTAAAGTAGAATAATAAATATTGATGTATTGTAGGAATCTGACTATTGAACCATATATTGTGTGCTAAAGAACATAAAATGTATTGAATGAGACACGTGCAATTCGAAATACAATGATTAATATAGGTTGGTTTTCAAATACATCTTAATATTCAGATTATAGTTTCTATGTCAATTTAAATTATTGAGTTTCCATTAAAAGGTTAGTGAAACAAATAATATACACAATATATAATAAACAATACTTCATCTTAACATGTCAATCTGTATAAGAATTTAAAGAAAAAAATATTGCTAAGTCACAAGAAGCCTTTTTCTTATGAGTTATAAATGTTTTGTTCTTATTTTGAGAACATTTATCAACAAAAATATCATACAAAACATAACAAATACATGTAACACAATAAAAATAACATACATTTTAGCAACAAAATACTAACAGCATACAATATCACAAAATATATTAAGTTGTTTATATAATGTACCTTTTTATTGAAAATAATCGTTGATCTATCAAGTTCATCTAGTTTGTGAAGCAATGAAAAAGAAATACAAGGTGAATGAAGTTTCCACAATAACTTCACACTTCTTGTATTTTTTTCCATTGCTACACAAACCATATGTATCATTATCAACTCATATTATACGCTTTCTACCACCATCATCGTCACCATGTAAGGTTTATCTAGTTTATGAAGCCATGAAAAAGAATTATAAGGTGGATGAAGTTAACATAATAGTTTCATGCATCTTATATTTCTTCTCATAACTTCTCAAACTAGATGAAGTTTATTGCTGTTATTGTTTCTTGAATCCTACAAACACCATGAATATTATCAACATGTGAAATCGCAAGATTATTTGTCAACAACATAACATGAAACAATAACATAGAACAATATACAACCAGAAAAGAACAATAAACTATCTAACAAGAAGAAAATTATAGGGAAACCACGTGAAACATAACAACAACATACACGAAAACGAGAGAATAAGGAAAAAGAAGAATGCCTTTATGTAAGAAGAACAAGATTGACGACTGTAGTGTAGAATAGGAATGCTAATGATGAATAAGAAGAGAAAAATAGGTTCTAGGGTTTTGTTGTGAAAGATATGGCGCTAATGTCAAAGAGCGAGTGCTAATTCGCTTATATATAAATATACTCATAATAGTTTACAACACCTACCATGGTGATATATATAAACGTGTCACAATGATGGAACACATAAACCATTGTTATAACCCTTTAATTTTTTATTTTAAAATACATAAAAAATAAAAGGTGTGCCTTAACATTAAAGGAATAACATATATGACGCCGCTGAGGTTCAAACTCATGAAAGCTTGATGGTATCACCACAGTTGGCTCTAAAACCGTTGTTATATACAATTAATTTTTAATCAAAAAATAAAATAATATGGTAGCGCCTTAATTTAGAGATGTCACCACGGTGCAGGGAAGAACCATGGTGACCATGGCGTTTTTATTTACGCGTTTTATAGTAGTGACTCCTTTTATTGCAACAGAAAAACATCAACAAAGTATTTATTCAACATAAAACATGTTATCTAAAACAATTCGTGTTATAATGTAATTATAAAGAAAATTGCGACAAAGAGATATCATAAAAATCTCTAATAACATAGAATAACAATTAAGCGTCCAACCCCCCAGTGTTACATATCAGAGCAGACGCCGACTCTAGTAAAAATAAAAGGAAGACTCCATCTTCCACTCACTCCAACACCGAACTACTCATGAGTATTTGCATGTTACCCATATAGAGACAACATTCAAACAATAAGGGTGAGATATCATAATTATATAATAGAATGTATAATAATAAGTGAACAACAGGTTATTACAAGCACAACATACATCCCAACAACATGTCACACCCATTCAATGCAACAACACTACACCAATAGCATACACAGATAGGATACTAACACATAAAGCATACATAAATAATCACATGCTAACGCATATAGCATACACAGATAATCACATATAGCATACACAGATAATCACATGCTAACACATATAACATACACAAATAAATCACATGCTAACACATAACATACACAACCAATATGCAATGCAATGAGACACTGTTATATGACTCAATGCATGTGGTATCATCGGTTCATAAGAACCCACTAATAAATTCCCGATGAAATTCAGTTATATCGCTCACACCCCGACAGGCACACGATCATCCCACTCCTCGTCACTCACACCCCACCAGGAACACGACTAATTCTCATCGCTCACACCCCATTGAGCACACGATTATATGATTCATGAATCAAATCTGAATACGTCGTTCACACCCTTCTGGGCACATGAAAATACCACACATGTACATACCATGAATGCATGGCATATATAGGCTCCTACAACAACAATAATATGCACATCAGCCTTCACCATGGTCGGTGCACTTTACCGATACCGGCCACCACACACCAAACACCAGCCAAAATATGGAGCAACAATCATACAACGATATAGCAAGCAATTACAAAGCCTTTACACAGATTCCACAAAACAACATAAGTCATAACACACCAAATCCGCGCATATTATGCATACAACATAATAATATGCATAAAGACATTCACCATAGTCTATGTAACTCTCCACTACCGGTCATTATACACCAAACACCTGCCAAAACATGCAGCAACAAAAAAACCAACGATATAGCAAGCAATTACAATGCATTTGCAAACATTCTACAAAATAACATAACTTGACACACATCAAACACGTGTCCATGAGTCGAATAGTTGGAATTATGATACCAAAAATATTTTTAAGTTAAAGTATGCTAAATCATCTTTCTAACGATTCAAATGACGCGTCAATCAGACACCTACATCTCAAGTTATGAATTTTCAAAGTTTTTCAAAAATTGCAAACACCGACATCATACACTGACACCATAAAACCTCATTACACACCAATTAAACTTATTTCCAGAACATGAAACAATTTTTACAAGAAATTACATTGTATTAGCTCTCTCCAAATTTAAACGACACGTCAAACGGATACCCAAAACTCAAGTTACGAATTTTTAAAGTTTTTACAAATTTTTTGACACGGCGAGGTAACATGTTACATCATTCATGTAACCGGTTACCTCAGTCCCATAAGCTGAAAACCCCAATTTTTATTTGATATAGCCGGTTACCTACACCATGTAACCGGCTACATCACCCAAGATGTCCAAAAAACATATTTTTCAATGTAACCGGTTACCTCACTGTCGTAAGCACTTTTCTGCAACTTTTTGACACGAAAATTACTTTTCACCTACACCCAAACATCCTCAATATCCACACAATACACAAAAACAGAATCCAAGTTCAATTCCTAATCACATACATCAATAGCAACATTCTAATTCACCACAGAAACAATCACATCAATGATTTTACACAATCAAGTCACATTCACATACATTGACATAAACTCACAATTCACAATTTCACCCAACATCATCACTAAACATAATTTTATCATTGAGGGTTTAACACATGAAGTAGAATTAGATTCTGACGAGTAATTATCTTTATCCACCGATCATTATACAACCCATTAGATAGTTAGAACTTCACGTTTACCTTGTGTAATAACCGACTGAAAATTATAGATTCACCACCATTAATTTTTATCCGAAGACGGAAATATAATGGAATAACACTAAAGTCGACACAGAGATTCTAAGTTCTTGACTCACTTTAGACAAAGAGAAGGTGTTAGGCACCCTTCATCTACCTTATTCACAAGCATATTGGGGTTTAGGTTAAAGGTTTAGGGTTTTAATTTTTTAGTTAGGGAACTCGCAACGACTTTTAAGTCGTATGCCTACGTATCCTCTTATGAGGAATCAGAGTCTCAATTCGTAGTTCGTAGTTGTTTGGTTAGTTTTTTTATGAATTATGAAAATATCTCAAATTCTCCTTGAACCAAGTCTGAGTGTGTGAATAATGGAATTGTAGACGAAGTTCGCAGTCGATAAAATAAAATTTCATAATCCTTTTTTGAAAAATAAATATGCTTGTATTATGTTAGTAAAAAAAGGGTTAGTATTTGATTGGTTAGATGTTTTTGAATATAAGATGTAATTTTGAATGAAAAATATTTAATGCAAATATATAAAAGAGAGTTAGTATTTTAAAAAATAATTTTTGATTAATAAGTAACTATTAAAATAAATTAAGTATTTTTAATAGAAAAATATTATAATTATTTATTAATCATGCGAAAATATATGTTAATATGATAAATAAATAAAATGATAATAAATAAACAAATGAATAAATAAATAAAATTATAAAAATAAATTAATTTTATTTTTAAAAATGTTAGGGGTGTAAATTCAGTTTGGACAATAAAACCTAGAGATGTGTAAATAGTAATAACTCAAGTTCAGAAATTGAACTTGCCTCAATTAAGCAGCAAAATTCTTTTGTTTGACTAGAGTTTTCAATAATTAAATGAAACTAAATTAATTCCAAAATTCCTAATCCAACTAATTGTTAAAATAGAGAGGTGCATATAATAGAAAGTTGGATGGTATATTTAAGAAAAGCTCGTAGCCCCAATAAACTTGAACCCAATCAAATTAAACACTAATTCTATTTTTATTAACAATAATAAAATAAAACTTAAAATAAGAATATCCTGCATAAAGGGGGAAAAGTTTCGCCCCAGTACATCACCAATACCATATCCTTTTTTAATTTTTCACTTGGCATGTGATTTCAAGAGAAATAATAAATAAACAATGAATTATGATTACGAATCTCAAATTCCCTCCTCTTTTTCACTGATCTACTTCATCCTCTCACTATTATTTTGTAAATACAACATCCATCAAACAAAACCACCAAATGAATATATGAAAACCATGCTCACAATGAGTTCATGGAAAAGCCAGCTGACCTTTCAAGCTTTGTAGTGGCCGGCGCGAGATGGATTCGATGCGTGGCTGGAGATCGTGGAATGGTGCTGAAGCGCGGCGGTTGGTGGAGGCTGGCCATGATTGGAGGTCATGGGTTGTTGGTGCAGTATGTTGGTTAGTCGTCAGAGGGGAATGGCGAACGGTTTTAGCGCGGTGAAATGCAGGGAGAATCGAAATTAGTGTAGATCGGACTCGGAGGTGTGGGTGTTCTCGCGGCAGAGGGAAGTTGGAGAAGCTTCGTTGGAGGCTGAGCGCGGGCAAGAAGGAGGCCGTGTGGCGATCTCGTCGGAAGTGCTTGTGCATTGTGCATCGATTCTTCATACCTTCTTTTCCACTCTTTTCCGATTTGAGTATTGTTGCTCTTCTTATCCATGTTTCTGCAAAAAAGAAAATCACAAAACTTATATTGTTAGCAGGTTGATGGCTTTGGTTCGTCGGTGTCGGCGGACACTGTTGCGATTCCGTTTGTTTTTCATTTATTTTCTATGTGAACGTGCTGTTGGTGATCGACGCTGGGCACAGAAGCTGCGTGTGTCGCTGGCGATTGCAGGTGCCAGCGAGTGGTTTGTCGATCAGTGATAGGAGCATATATATCGAGAGCTGACTCAGTGGTTGTTTCCAGAGTGATCTTCTTGCTGGCATCAAACTTGTTGGAATCTCTTTCTCTTCTTTTATTCGAATCCAAACTTTGATTTACTTGAACTTGTTGTTTGTTTGAAACAAACTGAAAGAATGAATTTTATTGTTGTTGACATTTTTTGTTAGCGATTGTGTCAATGGTTGTTTGTGTTGAATTTGTGATGAGATAATAGTTTATGTTTTCAATTGGTTTGAATCATTGATGAGTTTATGGAGATGGTTAAGCTGGTAATGTTTTGAAGTGATAATATGGTTTGTTTTGGTTTGAGTTTAAATTTGGTGAGGTTTTTCGGTTAATGATTTTTTTGTAACATAAAAGAGTGAGGTTTGGTTAACACATGTTTGTGTAGCTTTGTGGATTGGAATTTTGTATTAGAGGGTAATTTAGTATTTTGTTATTTGTAGATAAGTTTTATTAGGGCCTATGTGGCATCTTCATTTGTGTATAAATAGATGTACTAGGATTACATTTATATCAATCAATTCCAATCATTTGTTGTCAGCTTTTATTGCATTTATTCCCTTTCATCTTCTTCCTCAAATTCATCACCTTTGCACTAACAATTGGTATCTAGAGCTCTTGGTTTGATTCTGAAACTCTGGGAAACACGAGTGATAGTGAGCTGTGTGTTTGATTTTTGATTCTTGAACAAAAATCTGAAACAGAATCACACTGATTCTGTGGGTTTGGGAAACACTGAGTGAGATCTGAGTTTTCCTGTGCAAAGGTTTAAGATGAATGGAGGCAGTAGTTTGAACACTAAACTTCCAGTCTTTGATGGCAAAAACTAGAACAGATGGAAGATTCAAATGCGTGTGCTGTTTGGTGCTCAGGATGTTCTGGACCTTGTTTCTGAAGGTTATGTTCCAGCTGCAGCTGATGCTACTGTAGAACAGAAATCAGAAGAAAAAGCTACAAGGAAGAGGGATCAGAAAGCACTGTTCTTCATCCATCAGTGTGTGGATGAAAATGTGTTTGAGAAGATTGTTGATTCGACGACGTCGAAAGGGGCATGGGATATTCTGACCAGATGTTATGGTGGTGACGTATCAGTAAAGAAGGTAAAGCTTCAGTCCCTGCGAAAATAATATGAAAATCTTAGCATGAAGAACAGTAAGAAAGTTTCTGAATACATTTCCAGATTGATTCTGATCACTAATGAAATGAAGGCTTGTGGAGAAACACTTTCTGAACAGGTAATCATAGAAAAGATTCTGAGGTCACTTACGCCTCAGTTTGATTATATTGTTGTTTCTATTGAACACTCTAAAGATCTGGAAACCATGAGAATAGAAGAGTTGCAAAGCAGTCTAGAAGCACAAGAGTTGCGTCTGACTGAAAGAACTTCTGAGAGGGAAGTGGAGCAAGCTCTGAAAGCTTCTTTTGTCAAGAAGGACCAGAAGCAGAATAGACATGGTGATAAATTCCAGAAGTCAGAAACCTCAACTTCTGATGAAAAGAAATATCAGAAGGGAAAGGAAAGGTATGACAAGAAGAAGGTTCAATGTTACTGCTGTAAACAGTTTGAGCATTTTGCCAGAGACTGTAGAAACAAAGGAAGAAAATCAGAAGAAGCAAATATAGCCAGAGAAGATTCTGATGATGAACCTGTGCTACTGATGGCTTCTGATTCTGATGGAAACTGTTCAGGAGATTGGTGGTATATGGACACTGGCTGTTCAAATCACTTGACTGGGAACAAACAATGACTGACAGACTTTGACTCCAGAAGGAGAACAAAGATCAGATGTGCTGATGATAAGTACCTTAATACAGAAGGTATGGGAAATGTCAGAGTCAGAGTGAAGAATGGAAGAAACATTCTGATCAAAGATGTCTGGTACGTTCCTGGAATTAAAAGCAATCTGATGAGTGTGGGTCAGCTTGTTGAGAAAGGTTTTTCAGTGGTTATGAAGGACAACCTCTTGACGTTGTACGATTCTAATCAGAAAATGATTATGAAGTCTGAGCAGGGAAGCAACAGAACATTCAAAGTGAATGTAGAAACCTCTGAAGCGGAGTGTCTCAGTGCAGAAGGCGCTGAAGCAGACAATAAGTTGTGGCACAAGAGGTTGGGGCACTTGAACTATAGAAGCTTAGGGCATCTAAGTTCTAAGAAGCTCGTACATGGCATTTCGAAGATTGTGAAGCCTCAGAAGTCATGTGAGATATGCATGAAAGGCAAGCAACCAAGATTGCCATTTGCGTCAGAAGTAGCCCCCAGAGCAAAGCATGCTCTGGGTGTAGTACATTCTGATGTGTGTGGACCATTTCCAGTAGCTTCACTTGGAGGAAACAAATATTTCGTGTCTTTTGTGGATGAGTTCACAAGAATGACTTGGGTAAAACTCATCAAGTTCAAGCATGAAGTGTTTACAGAATTCCAGAAGTTCAAGGTGAAGGCTGAGAAGCAGAGTGGTCAGAAGCTGAAGATTCTGAGAACAGATGGTGGAGGTGAGTATAACTCTACAGAGTTCCAGAAGTTCTGTGAGGAGAATGGAATAGAACATGAGGTTACTGCTCCATATACTCCTCAGCACAACGGTCTCGCTGAAAGAAGAAACAGAACTTTGCTTGATATGACCAGAAGTATGCTGAAAGAGAAGAAGTTACCTCACATGTTATGGGGAGAAGCTGTTGCCACATCAGCATATGTTCTGAACAGGTGTCCAACAAAGAAGCTGAAGGAAACTATTCCTTTAGAAAAATGGACTGGAGACAAGCAGAGTGTTAGTCATCTGAAAGTATTTGGTTCTGTGTGCTACAAACACATTCCAGAGGCTAGAAGACGAAAACTGGATGATAAAAGCAAAACAATGTTACTGGTGGGGTACCACAGTACAGGTGCCTACAAGCTTTATTGTCCAGAAACCAACAAAGTTGAAATCAGCAGAGACGTCGTTGTGAAAGAGTCAGAAACATGGGATTGGAACAAGCTTCAATCAGATTCTGGTGTAGTGCTAACACCAGGGTTAGTTTCTGAAGACGAGTCAGAGTCAGAAGAAGAAGACTCTGAAGATGAGTCAGAATCTCAGGGAGATCCTGATAGTGAATCTGATTCTGATCCGGATTCTGATGATGATCCAGAATCTGGTGATGATTTTACTTCTGGAAGGGAAAACTCTGAAGACATAGGGTCTGGAGAACAAATTTCCAGAAGTAACTCTGAAGGTGGTAATTCTGAAGGAAGTAGTTCTGGACAAGGTTCAGAAGCCAGTATTGTTCCGAATTCTGGAGAAGCTTCAGAACAAGACCAGAGGCCACAGAGAATCAGACGAATACCAAGTAAGTTTGCAGATTTTAGCATGTTGCATGATACTGAAGTAGATTCTGAAGGTGAAATCGTTCAGTGTGCCATGCTAGTAGATTCTGAACTAGTGGGTATTGAAGAAGCACTCAAGAAGAAAGTATGGCTGAATGCCATGAAAGAAGAACTTGAGGCAATTGAAAGAAACAAGACTTGGAAGCTGACAGAACTTCCAAAAGGCAAGAAAGCCATCAGCGTCAGATGGGTTTTTAAGCAGAAGCTAAAACCAGATGGATCAATTGGCAAACATAAAGCGAGACTAGTGGCCAAAGGTTTTCTTCAGAAACCTGGACTAGATTATTTTGAGGTGTTTGCACCTGTAGCTAGACACGAAACAATCAGACTGGTGATTGCTTTAGCTGCAAACAGAAATTGGCCTTTGATACATCTGGATGTGAAGTCTGCATTTCTGAACGGTCCATTACAGGAAGAAGTTTATGTGTTACAACCTCCTGGATTTGTGAAAAAGAATCAGGAAGGGATGGTATACAGGTTAAGTAAAGCTCTGTATGGACTGAAGCAAGCGCCCAGAGCTTGGAATCTGAAGATTGATTCGTTTTTCAAGGAACAAGGGTTTCAGAAGTGTGAGATGGAATATGGTGTTTATGTTCAGCATACTTCAGAAGGTAATATGATTCTGGTCTGTTTGTATGTTGATGACATTTACTCACAGGAAGTTCTGAACAAGAAACAGCTGAGTTCAAGAAAGTTCTGATGAAGGCGTTTGAGATGACAGATCTTGGAAAAATGAGTTTCTTTCTAGGGATGGAACTTATATACTCTGAGAAAGGAATCATTTTGCATCAGAAGAAGTATGAACTAGAGCTTCTGAAGAGATTTGAGCTAGCAAATTGCAAGATTGCTATCACACCTGCTGATATGAATCAGAAGTTAGACTCTGATTCTGATGGAGAGGATGTGGACGCTACAACCTTCAAACAGATGGTTGGTTCTCTGAGGTATTTATGCAATACCAGACCTGATATTTGTTATGCAGTTGGAATGGTCAGCAGATACATGAGCAAACCAAAGTGGTCTCATTACCAAGCTGCTGTCAGGATTCTGAGGTACATAAAAGGAACTCTGAAATATGGAGTGTTATTTCCTTCTGGAGGAAAGATCAAATCAGAACTTCTGAGTTATTCTGATTCTGATTGGTGTGGAGACAGAGTCGACAGATGAAGCACTTCTGGGTATTTATTCAAGTTTCTGGGAGGCCCAATCTCTTGGTGTTCCAAGAAACAGCCTGTTGTGGCTCTGTCAACATGTGAAGCTGAATACATTGCTGGTGCTGTAGCCGCCTGTCAAGCAGTTTGGCTTCTGAATCTGCTGCATGATCTGAAGGTTGAAGTTGAGGAACCTCTGAAGCTGATGATTGATAACAAGTCTGCAATTAATCTTGCAAAGAATCCAGTTCTACATGGCAGAAGCAAGCACATTGAGACGAAGTATCACTTTCTCAGAAGTCAAGTGCAGAAAGGAGTGTTAGAAGTTATGCACTGTAGCACTCAGAAGCAGCTGGCAGATGTTCTGACCAAGGCAATAAAAACAGACCAATTTCTGCGCTTGAGAGATGAAATTGGTGTTGTTAACTTCTGATAAATTACTAAATTACGGGATGGTATTAGAGGG